GGGGTCATGAAGAGTCGGACACGACTGAACGACTTCACTTTCACTTTTCACTTTCATGCATTGGAGAAGTAAATGGCAACCCACTCCAGTGTTCTTGCCTGGAGAATGCCAGGGATGGTGGAGCCTGGGGGGCTGCTGTCTATGAGGTCGCACAGAGTTGGACATGGCTGAAGCGACTTAGCAGCAGCAGCAGCTAACTTTAAATGTAGGTAGGACATGTTTTGGTGACCACATCATTGTAACTGGATCACAAGGCAAAGGTTTGTGTTATTCCTCTTAATGAAATATCTGTAAAGGTGGCTCAGAAATGTGAAGAATTGTTGTGTTTCAGAATTAGAAGGGGCCTTAGAGATGAATTTGAATAACTGTCTTTATCAATAGGGGAGCTGAAGTCCAAGACTAAATGTTAATGTGACTGAGTGGAAGTCTCACTTGGGATTCAAGCCTGGATCAGCTGACCGTCCGTTTGCTTAATGTTTTCTCATATCCTATCCTGCTTAAGGACATTTATGTTTCTAAAATGGCTGTGATACGGAGTGTATATTATTCAGTTAGTAAAACAGAAGAAAAAGTAGTGCTGAGTCCTTAAACTTCTTTGGCTTGCAGAAGTTGTTGTGGAGGTAGGTGGGTGAAGATTTATAACCTTGATGTGGGAGCAGGATATGTCAGTGGGGCACCCAGCTTTAAGAATAGCTCCCGTAAGCCGAGTACGTTTTGTTTCAGTGGGCAGGTCAGGGGAATGCGGGGTTCCGGGGCTCCCCACAATGGTCAGGGTATGTTGTGCTTAGTTAGAGGGCAGCCCGGGTAGGGCCTCCTTTTAACAGGTGTTTCTCGTCTGGGAGAGTCTGAGTGTGCCATGAACACCACTTCACCTCCGGGCCTTATCACAAGTGTGCTCTGCGGACCAGTGTCAGCATTCTCTGGGGACTTTCTAGGGGTGCAGTCTCGGGCCCCATCCCAGACCTGTGTGATCTCTATTTTAACAAGATTCCCAGGCAGTTCATGTATATAGTAAAGAATAAAAAACACTGGAACTGAGGTTAAGCATGTTGAGCAAGAGGAACTTCTCTTTGGAGAATTGTTCCAAGGCTTTTAGTTGAGAATGAGTGTCAGAAACTTACCTTCCTGGAATTTCTTAAAACTAGTGCTTCATCAGTGGCATCTCTTCCTGTTTTCTAGCACCACAGTAATGGAGTTCTGTTTTATTTTTTTTTTTCCTCATCAGGGTAGGCGGTTTCCCTTTTCTCCACATCCTTACTAGCGTTTATAATTTGTATTCTTTTTGATGATGAAGGCTGTTCTGACAGGTGTGAGGTGATACCTCATTGTGGTTTTGAGGTGCATTTCCCTGATGCAGAAATCAGCATTTTAAGATTTGATTTAATTGAAAAAAAATTTTAATTTAATTATAATTTTATGTTAGAATATGGTTGATTTACAATGTTGTGTGAGTTTCAGGTGTCCAGCAAAGTGATTCAGTTATACACATATCCATTTTTCTTTTATTTTCGGCTGCAATGCACAGCTGGTGGGATCCTAGTTCCCTGACCAGGAGTTAAACCCGGGCCCTGGGCAGTGAAAGCAGAGTCCCAGCCACTGGCCCCCCAGGGAATTCCCCACATATCCATTCTTTTACAGATTCTTTTCCTAAGTAATGGAGTTTAAAAAATCTTATTCTTTGTTGTTTTCCTGAGGTTACCTAGGCCCAAATCCAAGCTATCGATAATGTTTCTTCTAGTCTCCCCTGTTCCAACACACCACCCAGCTGCTCAAGCCAGATTTCTAGGTGTCATTCTCTGGGCCATGGGTTCTAGATCCAGGATCTGAATCTGGGATCCATAGTTTGCTAGCTGTGTCACCTTGGACACATGACTCGTCCACTTGTGGCCTTTCTTTCTGTGCCTGTGAGTCTGGGATGGCAGTGTGCCCACCCCGCAGGACCGACGTGAGTGTTACACGAGATACCTCGTGTTCTGCATCGGAACAGCCTGGCCTGGAGTAAGTGGTTAGTCAGTGTTAGCCCTACGGTTATGCTGGTTTCTTCCTTTCCCTTATCCTTTAAACCCGATTTATCAGAAAGTTTACATAGGTTCTTCCTACAAAATATGTTTCACGTTTATCTACTCCTGTTTCCATTGCCATCATCTGGCTTGAAGCTTTCATAAATTCTAGTTTATACTTCCAACTGGTGTCTCTGATTCCTCTTAAATTACTCCAATCTATTTCCCTTGTTTGTTGTTCAGTCATTCAGTCATGGCCAGCTCTTTGTGACCTCATAGACTGCAGCTCGCCAGGCTTCCCTGTCCGTCACTATCTCCTCGAGCTTGTTCAAACTCATGTCCACTGAGTCGGTGATCTCCAACCATCTCATCCTCTGTCACCCCCTTTTCCTCCTGCCCTCAATATTTCCTAGCATCAGGGTCTTTTCCAATGAGTTGACTCTTCGCATCAGGTGCCAAAGTATTGGAGCTTCAGCTTCAGCATCAGTCCTTCCAATGAATATTCAGAGTTGATTTCCTTTAGGATGGACTGGTTTGATCTCCCTGCTGTCCAGGGAACTCTCAAGAGTGTTCTCTAGCACCACAGTTCAAAAGCATCAAGTCTTTGGCACTCAGCTTCCTTTATGGTCCAACTCTCCTATCTGTACATGACTACTAGAAAAGCCATAGCTTTGACTATACGAACCTTTGTTGGCAAAGTGATGGAAAAATTTCCCTTATAATAGCCATATAATTTTCTAAAAGTGTAAATGAATGACCTTTTGAAAATGTTAACGAACCCCCATGGGTTTAAAACCTCGGCCTGCACATCCTGTGGTTTTGGCCCCTGCCTGCTCTTCAGTGTTGGCTCCTCCTGTGCTGTCCCCGGGTCCTTCTCCCCACTTGCCCCCGCGCCCGCTGTTCTGTGACTGCACTGTTCTCCCTCAGTTGGGGTGACCTGGGGCTGTCATGCTCAGAGGCTGCTGCGTGTGACCCTCCTTCTGCCTTCATGTATGTTTCTCTTATTTCCCAGTGCTCATCCTTCTCGTGTCTGCAGGTATTGGTTCCTCAGAGAGCCTTTTCTAACCACCCCTGCCTAAATTTGGAGAAAGCGATGGCACCCCGCTCCAGGACTCTTGCGTGGAAAATCCCATGGATGGAGGAGCCTGGTGGGCTGCAGTCCATGTGGTCGCTAAGAGTCGGACATGACTGAGAGACTTCACTTTCACTTTTCACTTTCATGCATTGGAGAAGGAAATGACATCCCACTCCAGTGTTCTTGCCTGGAGAATGCCAGGGACGGGAGCCTGGTGGGCTGCCATCTATGGGGTTGCACAGAGTCGGACACGACTGAGTGACTTAGTAGTAGCAGCCGCCTAAATTAGGCCACCAGGTTCCTTTTTTATCAGCCTGAAGCTCCCTGAACACATCAAAAAGTTAATATTGCCTGTCCATAGGGGACAAGGATAATTAACAGCCTGTGGTTATAAAACATGCAACTCCAAGAGGAGTGTGCAGCTTTTCCAGAAAGAATAATTTTACATGTTGTGAATATTAAGTGATTATAGAGCTATGTTAAGAAACTGCTATCTTGAAACTGTTCAAGAAGGTCTTTGATATTGGTATTCAAGGACAAAGAAGGCTGCCCACTGAACCTGTCTGCAGAGGGCAAAGGTGCATGCTAAGTCACTCAGTTGTGTCCGACTCTTTTCGACCTCATGGACTGTAGCTCGCCAGGCTCCTTTGTCCATGGGATTCTCTGGGCAAGAACACTGGAGAGGGTGCCATTTCCTCCTCCAGGGGATCTTCCTGCAGAGGGTGAGGAGGTATTCGTAATCTCGCCATGGGCCTCCTCACTGCTGTCAATCATTTCTGCTCCAAAAGATAAAACGGACATCATAAAACTCCCCTCTTTGAAGAAGCTTCCTGGTTTCTGATAAAACGCTTCATGCTCCTCTCTCCTAAAGTGAAAGGTCAGTTGTTGCTCAGACACGGGAAGGAAGATGTCTCAGAATTAGAAGACAGAGATCAAGTGTGATAATATCTGTATCCTGGTTAATTTTTGAGTTCAGAGGCAGAAAGATGACTCCCTGATTGGCCTCAGTCTCATTTCTTTGTGTTTTGAAATTGCTACCTTATTACTTATGTTTCATTAATTCTAGACCAGAGAAAGGAGGCACTCCTGAGTTTTGGCAGCTGCTTAAAGCAGCCAGGGGAGAAGGAAATGGCAACCCACTCCAGTATTCTTGCCTGGAGAATCCTGTGGACAGAGGGGCCGGGTGGGCTGCTGTCCATGGGGTTGCACAGAGTCAGACATGACTGAAACGACTTTGCATGCATGCATGCATGCATAAAGCAACCAGGAGGAGAATGGTGGGATTGAGAATCATGATGTGAACCACTTTCAGTCACCTTGTAGTTTTTCTTTCAAATAAGGGACATTTAGGATTCCAGAGAACATGGGGACAGTTGCTTAAATTTAGGATAACAAGTGTAAGTGGGATGCTTGGTACTCCTATTTGCCTAAATTTAGGCAAAAGAGACCCAAATGTGGTCTCTTTTGGGGAAAGACTACTTTTTGTTGACATACTTTAGCAGAACCCATTCACAGAAATATTCCTGCTATGGGCATTCCTGTTATGGGCTGTGGGTGATGATAATCATTTGGAAAATGATGTGTCTAAAAATAAAATATAGTTTTCTCATTGTAAATAAGTTACTAATAACATATACTTAATTAAAAAAAATTCTACCATAATTGTGCCCTCCCAATCAAGCCCAGACTTTTCAAATTTCTCTTGTTCCCCTATAGATGTTTATGTGTTTCTCTTTTTATATGGTTGTAACCTTGCTTGTTTCTGATTTATGTCCCATTATGTTTTTCATGTTTCATTTTTAATGGCCATATAGTATTCTATCAGTGGATCTGTCATAACCATTCTCTCGTTGGCTGATTTGCTTTGTGATGTATATTTTATGATGTATTTTTAATGATGTCTTTGTTTTGCTCTAATTTTGCAGGCAGAGACATTTGTTTGGGTTAACAATGCATCAGCACATTCCCAGAGTGTTGCCAAGGCCAAATACGAATTTTTATTTGGCAGATCTGAAGAGAAAACTCCAGATACTAGTAAGTGTCTCCCTGCCTTCCTCTTTCAGGTAACAGATAGGAAGAGAGATTAAAATTTCAAATCTCAGAAGCCGAGAATTCTTCAAACAAAAAGTGACTTGAAATTACCTACCACAGGCTACTAGAATCACATCCTGTATTTCTGAATTCTACACTTGGAAAGATGTAGAATTATTTGATGAATAATGACAGCAAACAGGTTTCACAGAGGCAGGGAGGCAGTGGTGCAGATAGAGAAGTGCTCACTCAGTCGTTGATGGAGAGGTATTAGTTCTGGGAGCGAGGCAGGGAAGGGGTACTGCATGCAGTTAAGACCCCGGGCTCTTTAGAGCGACTTCTTCAGTGTGAACCTAGCCTGTAGCTTATGAGATGCGTGGTCCTGAGTGAATTGTCTAAACTCTTTTTGCCTCAGTTTTCTCAACTGTCAAATGGGATTATAGTGACACATATCTTAGAATCCTTCTGAGGATTAAGTAGATTGATGTATGGGAAGATCTCAGAACCATGCTTGGGATGTAATAAACGCTTTACAAGTATTTACTGCCATTCTTATTTATTGTGATCATCATCATATTCCTGACCTTTGAAGCTTATGTCTAAACTTTCTCTAAAGAAAGTACATTCCTTACTTTCCTCAGCTCCATCACTGTGTGACACTGATTTCTGTTTTGGGTAGACAGGGAATCTGACCTAATGTAGCTGTTGTTCAGTTGAAGAAGTCAAATGATAGCTATTCATTTTGGCTCATATGTTAGATAAGATAATATAATGGGCTCCTTAATATCTGGGGATAGCAAGAATGCAGTATATATTAATAATTCCTTTTACATTAATAATGAATATTTCTTAGATATTTCAGTAGTTGGAGACTTTTAATGAAGTCTTAAACAGCTAAATTATTTTAAAAAATCATTCTTCTTTTATTATGTAGCATAAATACTACTATTCTAGGCTTGAGGTTTGGGATACTTAATCATTTATCCATTATTTCTCAGATGGGAAATACTGATTGTGATCACCCCAAGACTGTTTAAAACGCCTTTTTGGCATAGCCTTAACTTTGTGATTTTGTGCTGACTAAGCTTTTTCTCTTTTTAACTTTGATAAAACATGATTTTTACTTCACTATATAGAGGTAATGTCAGAGCTCTACATAGTCCTTTGACTTATTGGTGGGTGAGTTTGGGTCTTCCTTACTCATAAGTTTTGAGTAGTTTTCCCAGTTTACCACTGGTGAATCAAAATGATATTTTAAACCTTCTGTTCCTTATTTGCCTTGGTAAACTGGTTGGTACTGTTAGTTTCTAGTGTGGTGTTATTTTGCAGAGGTGTTAGTGTGCATGCATTTATTAAACAAATCTATGTAATGAACACTCCTTTTGTGCTAGTCACCTGTGCTGGGCACTGTCAGGATGCAGAGAAATAGAAGACAGTCCTTGCCCCCTGGGGGCTAATTCTTTGATCAGAGCGAAGCAGTGATCACTTCAGCTGTGCTGGTGATGGCTTCATGGAATAGGTGGAAGGTGCACTGTTCTCCAAGAATGACTAGTGTTCTGGTTAATAGAGGTTTGGGGGATGGCACTTCAGACTGGGGGAATGATGTGCGCGAGGGTGTGCTGGCAGAACATACAGATTGTTTGCGGAACAGGGAGGAAACTGGCCAGGTTAGTTTGCAAAAGCTTATCAGTGAGAGAGAGATTTAGAAAAATAACCATTTAGAGAGGGGCAGAATCATGGAGAGTGAAGAGTTTGCATTTCATTTTGGTATGCAGAGACAAAATGCCAAGTACTGTTTTAGAGAGATAAATCCAGATGATTGATCTGGAAATTGGAAGGGGCAGCAGAAATTGTTGCTTATTGTAGCAGGGGTGTAAGATGCAAGTTTATGTTGACTTTTGAAAAGTACTTTTAAAAATCTTTAGAAAGAAATGGTGCCTTTTTATCACTTTAAGAATACTCTTGAAGTTTCTTTATATTGACCATTCGTCTATCATCAAAACATGGCCCAAACTCAAAAGAACATAGGGGGCCTTTCTTGGTGGTCCAGTGGTTGAGACCCTACCTGCCAATGCATGGGGCATGGATTTCACTCTCTGGTCTGGGAAGATCCCACATGCTGCAAGAGTTGCTAAGCCCGTGTACCACAACTGAACTTACATGCTGCAACTACTGAAGCCCACGCACCTTAGAGCCCAAGCTCTGCAACGAGAGGAGCCATTGCAGTAAGAAGGCTGTGCACCACAGCTAGAGAGCAACCCCTGCTTGCAGCAGTGACAACCCAGAGCAGCCACAAATAAATTAAAAAAATTATTTAAAAGACCATAGGGAAAAGTAGTAGACAGAATAAGACAGTGATTTTATTTGAATTTGGTTGATAGGCATACCTTTTCCCTCTTGTTTTTGTTTTTCCAAGTGGATTAAATAAGTGGCTGAAACTGTCTAAGTGCTGCAGAAGCAGCCTGCCGGGGAAATGGAAACACTGACAGTGCCTGCTGAATGCATCTCCCGTATCAGTCAGGTGGTCGCCGGTAGTGATGCAGCCAGGTCAGGGGCGGTCCGTTGGTTCAGGACCCCGGTGAGGCCCAAGGGAAGTGTCCCTGCTCTAGGGACAGGAGGCTGAGGCTTTGTCACTCAGCCGGGAGCTCACGTGGGCTGTGGGTGGGAGGGTCTAGAGAAGGCAGTTTAAGACAGTTTGCACAGTGTTGCTTATTGCCGAGGTTTTGAATCTGTGACAAGAGTTTAGGGTGCTGGGTGGGGTATGGGAGAATGTGTGAACAGTGGGAGGGGTCCCTTGGCCAAGAATTAAGATCTGGATTCTGTGATCTGTTTATCAATATAGTGAAGAAGAGAGTTGATTTTGCTTCTCTGGTGCCTGTTCCCTGCTGCTTTCTGGGAGCTGTCACAACTTCATGAGCTTTTCAAGGGCGAGTCCAGAGTTGATGATTGCTGAGAGGCTGATGATTGCACGTGACATCCTTTGTGCTGTGGCTTAATGAGGGGTTGGGGGGTCACCAGAGGTTCCCCTGCTTCTATTCCCATCAGCTGTTGGGATGTTTGTGGATCTGCACTGAGCTGCAAGGAGAGAAGAAAGAGGCGGCGCCTCCCGCGCCCCCCAGGCTTCCCCGGCGTCGCTCGTTTTCTCTTACTGGATGCGGGGGCTTCTCTCAGCCGGCCACACGGGGTCCACTCTGACAGGAGGGGCTTCATTTTGGGAAAGTGCATTCTTTGAAGTGTTCCTGAAGCGGTTTCAGAGGGCTGAGGTCGGTCAGCCTTTTGGGGGAAAACCAGAGGGAGGAGATGCTTGAGAAGGTCTCTGAAGAAAAGTGAGACTGCTCTTGGCCTGGGGGAGGACAGGTGACTCATGGAAGCGTATGAGGAAGCGAGGGGCCTGGGAGATGCTGAGAACTGAAGCGTCCAGCAGTTAGGAGGTGACCGAATGCAGTAAAATAGAGACATAGATGTGCCCGCGTTTCGATATCTCTGTCTGTGGGTGTCAGATATGGGCGTGTGTGTATGTATAAAGATGTTTAGGTCAACAGCACGATCTGAAATGATCATGACTGTTGAAGTCACTCGGAGTAGATAGCTGCTGACCTCTTCTTGTGGGGTTTGCCTGCCCTGTGTCCCTACCCCCCTGGCACCCACTTGGGACTTTTGTCACTGTGATGGGACATAACTTCGTCTCTCAAGCTAAAATTCAGTATGTATTTACTGTTGAGTGAGGATGTTTTTATGGGCAGTGGGGGGAGGTATTTAATTCAAGGACTAGCATGCCTTGAGCAACAAGGTATGGTTTAAAAAATGTGAGGGCTTCCCAGGTAGCTCAAACGGTAAACAATCTGCCTGTAATGCGCAAGACCTGGGTTCATTCCCTCTGTCAGGAAGATCCCCTGGAGAAGGGAATGGCAACCCATTCCAACATCCTTGCCTAGAAAATCCCATGGACAGAGGAGCCTGGCGGGCTGCAGTCCATGGGGTCGCACAGAGTTGGAAGTGACTGAGTGACTAACACACACACACACACACACACACACACACAATGTGATGAAATCAGGGATCCAGCTGCCACTGTTCACCTGCTTCTTTGGACTGCAGCATTAGGCATGAGTGAGGCTGGGAGGCTGCTTGGGACGGCAGCAGGCCTGGCCAGCTGGAGCTGGACCTGGCTCCCCTTTGTTCCTTCTTGGGCTGTCCTGCACCCAAGGGTGCCACAGGTTCTCTGGCACAAGTGATCTTGGAAGTCGCTCAGTCGTGTCCGACTCTTTGTGAACCCACGGACTATACAGTCCATGGAGTTCTCCAGGCCAGAATACTGGAGTGGGTAGCCTTTCCCTTCTCCAGGGGATCTTCCCGACCCAGGAATCAAACCAGGGTCTCCCACATTGTAGGTGGATTCTTTACCAGCTGAGCCACAAGGGAAGCCCTTGAAGATTTTCAAAGTGGACAATATTTTGATATCGTTTTATCCTAATTATAGATACCTCATGGCAGATTTCTAGGTTTTTCTTCCATTAGTTATATATGTTTTCCTGAAAGCTTGGAAAGAAGTTCAAGTACAAAACTGTCATGTCTGAGTTCTGTTAATAGTTAAACAACACCTCCCTCTGCTGGATAGAGTATGTAACACATTTTAGTAGCAGTTCTCAAATTGTCTGTGCTGTTTGCTTATCCTGCTGCAGATTTCTTTCAGATTTGTTCTGGAGGTCAATTAGTATGCCTTTGTTCTTTCTGCTTAATCTAATCTGAAGGTTTATAAAAAGTCCAATGCTGTACAAATATACCTTAAATATGTGGTATTTTAATCTCATTATGATGTTACAAAATTAAAGATTTGGCATTTTCATGGTAAAAACATTCATGTTTTTGAAATAGAGATATTAACCAGCTATATTGTCAGATGGACACGCTCTGATAATAATAATGCTTGAATATAAGATGCATTAAATAATATATGAAAGCGAGTCTGGTCTTTTTCCCTCATATAAATTTTGCAAAAACTT